ACTACAGGGGAGCAACTTCTATGAAATACAAACCAAATGGATACAAATATCATATAAACAGAACATGCATACCGGTTAAACCTTTTGAATTTATGGAATATGTACCAGAACATGTTTCCCCGTGTAAAGAAGAGGTAGCCACGTCTTGAGGAAAGCAGCCAACATTTGTAACTTGAGGGGGTCCTGAATGGGATACCTGATACTCATTTGTATGATATAGTAAAGGCATAACTCCATTTGAAAAACTTGAATTACTATTATTTTCAAAAGTATCTATAATTCCATATTTCAGTTCATTATGGATATCATTTGAAGGTCCAAACGTTGGTCCTCGAGATTTTTCCCCGCTGGGCAGAGCTTCACTCTTCAATGATTTGCACTTCTTCTCCCACTGCAGCCACAAAGGGATAATAACCATACGTTAATGACTCAACTCTAAAAACTGACTTGAATTTCTATTTACTGTCTTCTTTGGAACTATAAGATTCATTATTCTACCATCTTTCTTCAACAAATCACATGAAAACACAAATCCATAGAATTCTACAATCTTTCTGTTTACTCTCACTGCCTCATATGACATAAATGATGAATGAAACTGAAAGCATATATACTATATAAACATACCATAGCAAGGTCATCTTCCGATATTCTAAATGTATCAAGGCGATCCATTCCTCCACCGTATTTCCACAAAAAATGCTTCAAATTCTTCAGATGTTCCGCACTTGCAAGGTGATTAATTGCATTACTACTGATAATCAAGAACACCAATAAAGTGTAAGGCCAACGTCATATATATCACAATGCACGATTTTGTAGCTCTAAATAATACATATTGCACAGCAATTCTGCACATGTTCCATTATTTTCCTTTATTTTCTCAGCAAACAAACAGAAGTTGAAAATCTAATTCAAGCATGGTGATAGAAATCTTACCAAGCGAAGGAGCTATCTAGCTCGTCAATGTCGGTGTCGCAGAAGACGCACCAGAGGCGATTGCGAGAGGCGAGTTCGGGGCGGAGAGGGGTAGGGTTTTTGAGAAAGAAGCGGACGTCGGTGAGCTTGTCCTGGAACCGAGAGAGGAAGGTAGAGAGGGACTTGGTATGGCTCGGTATGTACTTGTGGCTCGGGCCTTGGTCGTGATTCAGCTTGCAAACCACGCAGTACTCGAATTCGTACCTCTTCTTATTCTTCTTCTCCGGCATCTTTCGATTGGTTTTGTTTTAGGGTTAGGGTACCTGTGATCGTCCCTCCTCCACTGTCGTATGGACACAGCTTCTCTCTCTCCCTCTATTTGTTTGGAATTTGGAGGCAAACCTATAACAGCCACTACCTGCTTTTGCGTTTCCTCTTTTTGTTCCAAACGATCTCAGCAAAGCTTGCTACAGTGAAGCCGTGATAGAAAACGCTATCTGAAGTAACGGGTCCGTAATTTGTTCCTTAATTTTTTTTGGTCCAACTCCAACTGTTTAAAGGCTTAACTGTGACTTCACTTATCGACCCCAAAAAAACTTTCACTAAACAAAGGTTGAAGCTTGAAGCTTATATGATAAATGAGACTTCTTAAATGTTCACTGTGAAATAACAAAACGTACTAACATGTTATCAACAATATCGATGCA